TTTATTGTGCCTTCCCGTCAAGTTGCTGGTATTTCTGATCGGAAAATTCGAACACGATGATTTTACGAGCAGTCCTGGCGAAATCGTTGACTTGGATTCAGAATTTCGACGAATAAGTCGTGAAATCTAGCATTGATCAGAATAAAATAACAGAGCAAAAGATAATTTGATACTTGATGATATGCTTAGCCTTGTCAAATGAAAAATATTCCACTTGCTATTCTACCCAACAGCAATGATACCATTTAACAATGTAATGTCTCGTGTTGGCAAAATAATCAACGACAAGAAATACATCGTACACTGAAAAAAATTCTATACTGTAGAGAACCCTTTTGTTGAGTTTCGCATTATCCGAAATACTTTTTTTCGAGAGTGTACGACTATTGAAGCACCCTAGTTTCCTTGCAAACAGCCGTTGAACAAACTTGAAACTTTTCAAAACATTGAATTCATGTATTCGTGACAGCATGCAGTAGTTGTTATGAACGAGCAACTAAGCCAGAAATATAGTGTAGTGATTCGTCGTTGAGATATGTCAGTTTTGAGATTTGTGATTGAGCTAAAATTTAATTCAGACAGACTCACTTCTACTCGATGCAGTGAGAATTTGTGAAGCCTAGAAACAATTCTTCACCTTCACACATTCTTCCATACCTACATTCAAGTAATATAATGGTAAAGATTCGGTTTCAAAAGAGAACTTTCAGGCGATTGTATGATATGGAGCTGGAACTTTGTGCACGTATTGAGGCTGTCTAACTATATAAAGAAAAAAATAATTTAACTATAGGAATTTTCGCACCCAGCTAGAAGTCTTTGGTGTCTCCAGCATCAGTCAACTATTTTCAAGAGACAGATTCAATTTCTTTTTTTTTATTTGAAAGACGACATTCACTGATGTTGACTTTCGTAGTTCTTTTTTATTTTCGCCTTTATTAACTATTTGAGATATGCATTGCTTAAGGAAACTACGAAATTCTATGAAAATAATTTTCTTCTTTGATTACGACTTATCTTCAAATCGGCTCTATCTCTTGACATAGTCGATTGATGTTGGACATGCGAAAGATCTTTCAAAATTTTCAGCACGTACAGTAAAATTGTTATTGCTTCAACAGAACATAAGAAATAGGAGTGATATTTTTTCGAAGTGTAATAGTAAGGTACTCCAATATAATATGGACAAGATAGTCCCAACTCATCATTAACTGTTACAATTTCGATCATAAAATGAATTCTTTTTTCTTATAAGCAATAGAATGGTCGAATACATAAACGTTCAAAAATAGGCGAAGTATGGATGAATCTAACAGAGTCATGAACTTCCAGGAGGGAGGATATTAGAGATCATACAAGATATGTGAAGTTTATTGTCACTACTAGAAAATCATAGAACATTTTTTGTTAGTACACGTATTACTAAGCGCAAAGCCTGAACCAAGAAATTTTTCTGACGGAAAACGAGACTAAAAATGATTGGCCTCACTCATCACTAACCTCAATATCATGTAAACGATTGAAGATCCAAACTTGAGGAAACAAGAGACAGAAGTGTGTTGGAGTTATTGATTTTAAGAAGGAGAGGAATGGGTATTAATGTTCTGAATCTATTCAATAAATAAAGAAAAACTTTACAAAACATAAATAAAACACTAAATATTAATTATTATCAAGCCATACATGTAATGTATATTGACTCTGCCATTGTGAGACATGTTTTTTCATAACTGGTAAATATTCAATAAATTTCTTATTGTTTAAAATCAAATTTTGTGCATGTTCAAAAGTGACACTTTTTAAATGTTTAAAATTCTCAATAATAAATTTAATATCATCACTACTTTTCACTCGAATATGTAAATGTTGTATATTTGGAGTTATCATTGAATATACTATTTCTATACTTGTTTTATAATCATTGGAAGCCCAATAATCAAATAAAGATAATATATTAATATTATGAGCATATTCAAGTAATTTTTTAATACTATGAACAATATTTGGCATATATTCATAGGAAAAATTAACAGATAATGAAAGTTTTACAATATTTAAAAGATTGATCGTTGTCGAAAGAAATTGAAATGAACCTTCAGGCCATTCATCAGCAATACCAAGAGTAAGTTCAGTAACATTTCGAAATTGCAAATGATTAACATTTCCTATTTCATTATTTTCCATAACTTTACTTAAATGTATATCTAATTGTTTAACATTATCCATCATCATTGGATCATGATTATTTATTGTAAAATTCGATGCAGAAACTTTACTTTTTTCTGAATGATATACAAAATGAGAATTACATATTGGTAATGAATAAAGTATGAGTTTATGTATATGAATAATATAATCACATATAACAAAACACTGTTTTTCATCTAGCCAAAATGGTGTTTGAAAAAGAGAAATAATTTCTTCGACATAACTTGTATCAAAATTAACATGAGTAAAAACTGTAATAAAATAATCAAATTTTTCTAATAAAGGTAATTTATTTTTAATTAATTGTTCCCATTGATAACCATCAAATGATGAATTAAATAAATTTCCTGCACCTATTAATTTAAGATAAATAAGTGCAGGTGTTAATGAAAGACATGGCTCGAGTTTATTCATTTGTATACGACCACCTTCACATGTCAATGATTTTAATTGTAAAAATGGTGTATGATTTAAATCTATGGAAATATTTTCATCGGTATCAATGGTATTAAAATCTTTTAAAATTATTGTTTGTAAACAAGGAGAATATTGAAGAATAATATAGAATTGATTCAGTGTTATACTGTTCTTTATTGTAAGATATCTAATAGTACAATTAACAGGCCATTGAAGTTCTTTCATATTTTTAGGCCATAAAGTCAAATCAAGTTTTTGAAGAGTACAATTTTCAATAGTTGATGATAACAAATTTAATATAGAATTTCTACCAATATTTAATGTTTGTAAATCGATTGATAAAGAAATTAACGAAGAATGAATAGTATAATCCAAAAATATTTTTAAATCATTAGCTTCAATTCGAATAAGTGTCAATGAACGAAGTCGAACAAATTGATTAATATCAAATAATGATATAAATAATTGTATTTGACCATGAGTTATATCTTTATCAGATAATGTTAATGAAACAACTCGTTCAAATGGAACCATACGACAAATACGAAGAAATTTTGTTTTTGAAATTGATTCAAAATTAAAATTATAATAATTATATGAATTTATAATTTCATCAAACCGTTTACAAACATAACGAAATGAAAAAAGAATTGTTTGGATATCAAGATTATCGAGAATATGATGAAGAATTTCAATAGGTAACATATCAAGAGATAAAGTCGACATTGTAATGATAGTTAGTTTCAAAAAAATAAAAAGAAACAACAATATTTTAATAAGTTATTATTCATATTAAATATTTGAATAAATTTATCATACAAATGATAATTATAAAAGAAAAAAATGAACAACAATAAGAGAGAAGCGCTATGAGCAATAAGATAATTTTTATTGCTTGTCATATTTCATACAGTTTAACCAATCGAAATAACATACGAGTTATGCCTTTTTACGTTTGTCTCAGAACTGTTCATGAGGTCGCAACAATCGACGTGTGTGTTGCCCTGCAAGACAACTTTGACGTCGATTGTTGCGCCCCATGGACAGCTCTGGACTTTGTCTCAATCAATGAGTCATGAACACATTGATGAGTATCTAGTTGTGATAGTTTATTCTAAACGCAAAAAAGTAAGCTTTTACTCATTTGCCTAAAGAACTTTTTCCTATGAAAAAGATTGCTCAACACGTGAAACGACAAATATAATTCAAAAAATGTATCCTCTTTTTTTTGTACCTTGTACTTAATTTTTCTTAACTCAATGTATTATTTTCACATATAAAAGACAATTGATTTAGATGTTAGATACACTAATAACAACTCCTCATCAGTAAAATATAATAATAATTGTTTGTCGATTAAATAAATCCTATTGAGTAGTTAAAAGTCTATCATGGTTTCAGTTCGTAAACGTTCTGAATTGAAATATTTAACAATTAATGAATGTTACATATAATCCATATTGCCAAAATGTCTTTTATGTAATTCCATGAGATAATGATTTTTTTTCTACTACAGTGTACGGTTGCAATTTGATTTCTTCACAATTGGTTCATCAATGAGGCTTTGTATTCATTTAATTTAGCCACTGAAAACTTTTTTGTCTCCGTTTCAGTTATTTCTTTTTTGGGTTGTATCATTGTTGAAAGCAAAGAATCATCTAGTAGAGACCTACATAAAAGTCAATGCCGGAGTTGCATCAGCATTTACAGATTCATAATTTCAAGAAAAAAAAACCATCAGAGACATTTTTATTGACAAGTAGTACAAAACAAAAATTTCGGAGTCAGACTCAGACGAAATCAAAAAGTTTGACTTCTCAGGTCTCTACTTTCTAATGTCCTGTGTCTTTTTATTGTTGATTAAAGAATATTGGTAAAATCAAATATTGGAACTGCTTAATAAAACAACTAATGAGATTAAATATCTGTCATATGAAGAAAGCAATGTAGAGTTCGACGATTTAAAAAAAAATGACACAGTTTAAGCATTAGATAGATATAAAAATTCTTAGATCTATGTCAAGAAATTTTGAGGTAAAAGTAGTTATACATCTAAAATCATTAAATAGTTGACATAGACGATTTTCGAACTTATATCAAGCGTTCTTTTTCAGGGTCATGCTGCAATTATTTAATACAAATAATATAAAGAAATATTCAACCTGGTTAATCACCTAATGCTCCAACACGCAAAAATGCGTCTCGTTTATAGTTTTGTTTTCTTTCAGGGCAATGAGAAATGTTATGAAAATAACAGTCTCATATTGGCTTACACTCGCCATTGCGTAGTTTTAGCTGCAGATATCTTACCTATACACGTCAATGTGCCTTGTAGATCATTTTATAAAGGTCATATCTCACCTGTATAGAAGAGCATGATACAAAATACACCAAGTATTGCTGAAGAAGATGAAATTACTGACATCGATCAATCAAACTGTGATCAATTACGTATGTCAAATGACTTGCAAACAGAGAGTAATTTTATTAAAAGTCAAAATGAAAAGTTAGCTTTCATGACAACAAAAACAAGTCTAAATAACAGAAAAAACGAAAAACCAACAAACATGATAAAAACAATAATGTAAATATACATAGAAAATATTTATATAAAAATATAAAGCTTGCTACTTATATGTGTTTATTGTAGGAGAGATATAATATCATGGCGTATTCTCCGTCTTTTCCTTAATTTCATATCTGTTTCTCCACATCTGCTTGCTCATGCAGAAGAGCAATTATATCAAAGTAATGCAATGAATGAATTGATTTTTATCATTATTGGTACGCCTTCTTGTTTTTTAGATTTGAAAAATAAATATTATGGTGAATATATTCACATACGGTAAGTTGAAGAAAGGAATTTTTTTCCAATAGACAAGTCTTCTTTTTCTCTTTTAGTGGTGATAATTTTATTTGGACAATTCGAAGTATATATTCACCTGAAGATGCCATTCCAGTTGTACTGATACATGATTTTGGTTGTGCTAGTGGCATATGGATAGAAAATATCGATTTTTTAAGTGCACGTCATCCACTTTATATGTTTGATATACTTGGTTTTGGTCGTTCATCACGACCAATATTTGATCAAACAAATTCTATTAATGCTGAAACAAAATTTATTGAATCAATTGAAGATTGGCGTATATCTGTTGGTTTAGAAGAAAAATTCTTTTTAATTGGACATGGTTTTGGAGCATATTTAGCTACGTTATATACAATTAGATATGGATCATTTATTAAAAAATTAATTCTTCTTGATCCTTGGGGTTTTAATCCAAAACCAGATGAATGTCAATTACATTTATCAAAACCATTTTGGATTAAATTTCTTGCATATATTACAGAAACATGGACATCATTTTCAGCATTTCGATATCTTGGACCATTAGGTAAACTATCAAAACAGTCGATGTTTTCGAAAATATGAGAGTACGAGGAGGATATCGGTAAGGAGAAACGATACAAAGCTTTATGAAGTCAATGTCAAGAAAAAAAAAAAGATCTTCGAACTTATATAGATCTCTAAAGTATACGTAAGCGGGAGAAGTCGTTTTCGACGTCGGCCCCGGTGAAAAAAAAAAGTTTGATCCAGCTTCCAGTCAAGAAAAATTGTTGACTATGATCTCAGTCAAAATAATGTATGCCCGGTTCTGATCAAAAGAAAATTTCGCTTGGGTACTAACTTCGACTCTATATTATTGTCCATATCAACTGTAAAGTCTACTGTTTATTTCCTTGATATTATTTTAGGACTACCTTTGTTAAAATTTTTTGCGCCTCGTTGGAAACGTCTAACACCAGTTGATAATTCAGATAAAAAATCAGATGTTCTCTATGAATATTTATATCATGTTAATGTACAACCACCTAGGTAACTTACTTTTCTTTAGTTATGAAAAGTTTAATTGTAAATGAAATTTATTTTTTCTTTCATTAAAGTGGTGATGTTGGTTTTCAAGCATTAGCATCATGGTATGGTTGGGCTAAAGAACCAATTGTTCAAGTGAATCATTCTCGTATAGAAAATATTTCGGATGAAATTTCAATAGTATTTATTTATGGATCACGTACACATATTGATAATACGGCTGCACAAGAAATACTTCATCAACGTGGCTCGAATAATACATGTATCAAAGTATTAAATACAACAGAAAATATTTTTGTTTGTTTCTAGTTTATATATGTAACAATTTATTTAGATTATTCATAATGCAGCACATTTCTTTTTTATGGAAAAACCAATACAATTTCATGAAGTTATGATTGATATATTAAGTGATGTATCACATGGTTTTCGTTCATTAGCATCTGAAGATACTCGAATAACAACTACAATACTTCAAGAATAAAATAAATGTTTCTTTTTAGTCAGATGGGATACTACTTGACCCTTTTTTTATATTCAATCTGTCGTTTCTTTTTTGAATATATGCAGTGATAGTATGTCATTAGATAGAATTCGATCTAATTATAGATAAGAAAAAAAGCCATTTCGATGAATAATTTTATGCGAGACGATCAAAATATGGATGTTTCTTCAGCATCTCCATCAAATGTCATTGATCAAATGATATCAATAGCACTATTTGATGATGCTGGAATGAAAAAACTATTATCAAATAATGAACAAAATGATTCATCACATCGGTTTGTATTTTCAAATCTTAAAAATGAACAATCATTTTCTAATGATTGTTATGGCGTTTAGAACTTGTCCTATCGCATCCTCGACACAAGAAAAATGTCGAATAACTATTCGAAGGTAATTTTTATCAATTAATGTATTGTTTCATCATTATCATCATCATCGTAAGTAAAACAACATTTAGGCCGAAAGCAAAAGACTGAAGTATCAAACTCGGTTAGATAAAACACACAAAATCTTTCATTTTAGTATGATAATTTCAATATAAGCAAAATGGCTGAAATCTCATATTCGTATGTGAATGCAGAAATGCTTTAATATTATCTTTTTTTTCACTTTTTACTAGCTGAAGCAGTTTTCGAAAAATAATTTGAAACTTGAATATACCTTTACGACATAACTGTTGTATGGATATTTTCAGACCAATAGGTTAACTTATAAAATATTCGTGATAAATAGCTGAACGCAAATATACACTTCTACTCTATAATAAACATCAGTCATAATATGAAGTCAGATTTTTTATTTATTGTTACGAGAAAAATCCCCCTAATTGATTAATGCCTTTTGAATTGTGGCCATGTACATCATGTTGATTCTATTGAGTTATGGATAATGTAGCAAGACCTCAGCCCTTTACGTTACTTCTGCGGAGATACTGCATGTTCACAGTAGTTTTTACGCAAATATTATAGTTTCTTTTAGTAACACCAGGAAAATCAATTTTCCTGATGTTCCGAAGGTAGGCTACGGCATGGATTTGAAAAATACTCTAAAAATACAATATCTCCGAAGCAATAAGCTAAGAACTTGAGCTCTTTTTTAGGTCATTAGCCTTACTCAGTAAAAGTGTAAGCATTTGTAAAACTGAAGAGAGCTATAGTTTTTATATTTCAAATTATACAAAATTATTCCTTTTTTTCTGATATTAATGTTTTTTTTTACATTATTTCATTTTAGTTACTTTTCTAAAATTGATTCTTTAAGAAGATTAGCATGGAATATAACTGGTCCTAAACAACTCGAACGTGCTGAAATGAAAATATTTGAAGCATTAAAAGTTCACTTTGATGGTTATTATGTATCTGTTTTAAATAATGCGCAAAAAATTTGGACTGTCTCTTCAAATTTAGCATCAAATAATATTCCTATTGTACTTATACATGGTTTTGCTGGTGGTGTTGGTTTATGGAGTTTAAATCTTGATCAGTTATGTGCTGATCGACCTGTTTATGCGCTTGATTTACCAGGTTTTGCACGTAGTAGTCGACTAATATTTAGTCTTGATCCAATGGAAGCTGAAAAACAATTTGTTGATATACTTGAAGAATGGAGAATAGGGATTGGATTAAATAAAGAATTTATTCTACTTGGACATAGTTTTGGTGGATTTTTAAGTACTTCTTATGCAATTAATTATCCGAAATATGTAAAACAACTTGTTTTAATTGATCCATGGGGTTTTTCACAAAAACCAGAAAATATTTGGGAAACTGGACGTTTACAACGTATACCAAAACGGTTAAGAACATTTTCACCAGTTATAATGAAAGTTTCACCACTAACTGTACTTCGAGCAGCTGGACCATTAGGTAATTATATTATTCTATGGAACAAGATCTAAACGAATTGTTGAAGTATTGAGATAGGACACATCTATATTGTGGCAGACATTATCATAGAATAGGTATCAATCGAACTAGTCATTTTTGGTGTCTGTAAAAAAAGAAACATAGCTCCAGTTCTGGTGAGACCGAACTCATCTTGCCCATATCCATTTAGAAAACATAAGCGATCAGAATATAACATTCGACACAAGTCTCAAACAACTATAAACAGTATTGTTCTCTACGAAAAAGTGTAGATCCCACTTTCGGTCAAAAACAATATGGTCCTAGTCCCCATAGAAAAAAAAACATTTGGATCCAGTCCCAGTAACACAATAATGTCTCTTTATGATATATAACTATTTCATTATCACATTTCTGAACAAGAATGATAAAGAAATGCATACCAAAATAAATACTCTCCGTGTAATTGACAATTACAATTTCATTGTGTTCCACATTTTAATTTCACAGTGATTTAAATAACAGATTTTATATTATTAAAAATTAACAATTTTCTTTTAATTAGGTGTTTCGCTTATAAAACGTTTTCGAGCCGATCTCCATGAAAAATTTACAAAATTATTTGATGATGATCGAATATTGATTTATTTATTTCATTGTAATGCTCAATTACCGACTGGTGAAGAAGCTTTTCAAACTATGAGTGATTGTTTTGCTTGGGCAAAAGGTTTTAAAAAAAATAATTTTATTTTTCAACAGTTTTATCATTGTTTTTTTTCTCTTGTTATTTTCATTTTAGAACCAATGATTAAACGAATTCATTTATTAGATGAACGAATTCCAATATGTTTTCTTCATGGCGAACAATCATGGATAACAATGAAATCATCTTTCATTATTCAAAAACAACGTCAAAATACTTCTGTTGATACAATTAAAGATGCTGGACATCATGTAAGCTGTTTTGATAAATAATTTCTATACAGTTTAATTCAATTCTTTGTTTTTTGTTTAGGTATATGCTGATACACCTGAAGAATTTGAAATATATTTAAAACGAATTTTATATAATAACTAACTGAGGTTATAGTTTTGATAAAATGTGATATTTCTTCTTGTTTGAGCGTTTCTTATGATAACCGTAGTTTATTTTTGTTTTGCTATACAATAAATGTTTCTTTGAACGCTTTTTCTACATTGTTGATTTATTAATAGACATGTTATATCTCAATCATATAAGACTGACATATTTATTGCATAAACTTTCTTAATCAAAAGTATTAATTAGCTGAATAGAGGAAATGTGAAGACAAATGATTAATTATGTATGACTAGAGTTGACCTGTCTAATGCAAGTGTGGGCGTTGTATTCAACGTCACTATAACTGACTTGCTTAGTAAATAGAACTGATTATATGATTTATGCACGTTCAGTCTGATGATTATTTAACATATTTGTATATACTAAAGAAATATTAAGATTATTCTAACCGGTGAAAATATTCTATTTTCTCGTTCTCACTCATTTCATTCAATTACAATTTTCATCATTAAATGACTAATTCACATTTCATAATTTTAAAATATATTTTAATATTTATTTTAGCATTGAAATAGAGAATGAAATAAGCTAAATTTAGAAGTTATTGTCTAATGAGTTTGATATGATTTTTATGTTGATCACGTCTATGTCAACATATTCTTTTTTGTTCTATATTAATTTTGCATTGCATAATGCACCCACGATTACATAAAATACATTTCTTTAACAATTGAACGGTTCTACTGAGCAAATATATTAATAAAGCATATCATCTGTATTTTATCATATTCTTTTTGCTGTACATCATAGAGTTGATGGCATTTAACATCTGATCTATTTCATCTAGTTAAACATCTTTTCATCTAATTATATTATTCATAATGTAAACTGGTCTTTTTTTTTTCAATCTACTTTACGAACAATTGTTGATAATAAATATAAAGTCAACATCAAGTAAAGTCCTTTTCTTTCAATTTTTAATATAAACATCAGAAGATAACTTAAAGCCAATCAATTAATTATCAGCAATCAAAGTTAATTCTATTAACAATTCAATATCATCAAATACTCAAAATTTTCTTTTTTCCAATTGTTCAAAAAACAAAGTATTTTGACGTACAATATAGAATTATTCAGAATGAATTCATCATGATTAGAGAAATTAAAAAAAAAAACAAATAGCTCTTAAAGTGATATAAAAAAAAATCTTATATTCAAGTATAATTGAATGATATAGTCAATTGAACTACAGAAAGTTCATTCATTAGTTTTTAAAAACCGAAACTAAACCTAAATTTAATTATTTCTATCCAGGTATTATTTACCATTAAACTATTAACTAGAGGTATATTTGCATTAGATAAATATAAATAATATTCAACAAGTATATTGTAGAAAAAAACATTGCTGTTAATGACATCACTGAAGTACTATTGATTTTCTACCATCTGGTATTTGATCATCATTACAAATTGTTTTTCATATAAATCAATTAAACGAATTGACATATTTGACTAGACTGAAATCGTCCAGACATGTTTGTAGGTTCTTTTTTTTATAGAATTATTATCATGAGTTAAAGATATTTATTTGCATAAATTGATTAGCTGTCTTCAAGTTTTATCTGAATCTATTACGAAAGATATAGGTAGACTAGATTAAATTCATAATCGATACAAAAGAAAAGAAATTTGAATTATGTTCATAGTCTCTCGCTTGTACATAGCTTTTTTTTTTCTATTTAATACGTTTAATGTTAGTAAAATGAAGAGAAGAGTATTTAGAGATTTTTTCATGCTTCATCATGCATAATTTTAATCAATGATGATTTATTATAATAATAAATTTCAGAATATGAAACTGATAAATCAAAAAAGAGAACTAAAATTCTTGATATTATGTCCTTGTTTTATAATTTAGATATTGAATGACCTTGGTAACTCTCGTCATTAATTTTTTTTTTCTTATCGTCTAATATTAAAACATTGTATGTTGTTTGCTCATTTGACTTATTCTTGTATGTTAGTAGAAGGACAACGGTTCCGTGTGCATTTCTAAACGTAAATAAAGTTTTTAGTTTCACCGATAGAATGGAATATATAGACAATACAAGAAAAAGAACAGTAAATTGTCATTGGGAAAGAAAAAAAAAACTATTCTGTGCTTATCTTTTTACTATTGTAGAGAATATAACACAAATATTCATATATATATATATATAGAGAGAGAGAGATAGAAAATGAAGAATTCTTTATTCTTGTCAAATATAATAATTCCAACTGAATCTTTTTATTTTGTTTCTACAGTTCTTATCTGCAACAATAATCTATCTATTTTAACGAAGTTTTCATTTCTCACTCATGTAAGTGACCATTTGACAGAAAAATTATAAGAATATTGTATACTCATGCATATGACACTTGAATATATTTGAATATAAAATAAAACTAGATGAGATTTTATTCAGTTTATTGAAAGGAAGTATTTTTTTCTTTAAATTAATAACCAATATGATTATTTGACATGAGAAATATGCTAGGAAAAAAAAATAAATTAGAGAAGTATTTTACATATAGTGTCGTACGTTTTTTTTTTTGTATCCATGGTCAAAATTATTCTAATGCAAAAAAAAAGAAATCCCTTGAAGACAGAAAAATATTTTCTTTTGTTGTAACCTTCATCTGATGTATGAAAAAAACACATCATATCATCATTAGTTTTTGTATGAATTTTCTTACCTAAACATATGATGATTCATATTCGAATAATTTTATTTCAATTCACCCATTTCCTTCAAGCTTGACGAATGTACTTTTTTTTAAAAAAAAAGCAAAATCTGTTTTATTTTTTTCAAAAGAATTAAAAAGTGCACGAAAACAAAATAGGTATAGAAAAAAAATCCCATTAATTTCTTTTTTTTTTGTGCGTATTATGACAACGATTGTTTTTGTTTGACACTTTCTCACAAAATCAACATTGAATTTATTTCAAAATATACTTCAAATAAGTTGTATTTTATTTTTTATTTCAGCTTTAAAACAAAATGTCCAACATCAATGTGGTATCGCTTATTATATTCGTTTGTTTCATTATTCTTCAATCGTCTATTATCAATTGTCGTCCTCATACACAAAAAATAGTTGTTCATGGTCATGAATGGACAGTACCAAATGAACCTGGTTGGGAAGACGGTAAAAAAAAAAAACGAAAAAATTTGTTAGTTTCTATTATTTTGAATTTTTATTCTTTTTATTATTAGTTCTACAAGAAGCTGAACCAGTTCGTCATAAATTCTTAACTAATTGTGCATCAAGTCGAGAATGTCGAATGGCTGCTGAATTATTGCGTAAAATCTTTTTAAAACATCGAGTTTCAGCAAAATATTATGATGATTCGGCGGACAACGAATTTCGATCAAATGATATGAATTCTATCTTTAAATGGGGATGACTTCTCTCGATATATATATCTTCTGTACTGTTAATAATGATAAAACAAAAAAAAAGGAACGAAAAGGTCGTATTTATCATATAGGCAATTCTTATTATTATAAGATATAATATTTAACAACAAAGAAAAAAAAAACATAATCATAATAATAATGATGCAGATATGAAAAGTCCTTTGTATTAGTTATTTTCATTAAGGTAAATTTTCAACAGTAATAAAAATATAAATCATTTCACTTTTATTTCTTTGTATTCGTACTATTAAATCAAATGATAATTCGACTATAATTCATTAGATATTTTAAGGGAATCATTGAATTATATAGAAATTGTATTAATGTAATACTGATCAAATTATAGAATTGATTCATCTTGATCTATATTAAAAAAAGCTATGAGATTAATCTGATATAATTTTTAATATAAATCATGTCATGTCGAATTGGAAAATAATTATCAATTGCAACTAAATTATTTTCGAGACACGGAAGTGCACTTAAATTATATTTTTTTGATCGATTTATAATTAGCACAAATGTCACTTTGTCTTATCTAAAACTATAATTATATTGTCTTCAGCTGACAGATCAATAATTTAACATGTCTTTTATATAAATCAATTAAAAATGATAGTAACCTAATTTTATATTATGTACGAATGATTAAGTGTGTAAATTATACGTAAATATGCAACTACAGATAAACATGAAATATGTATTGATTAATAATATAAATATTGAAATTTAACAATTTTTTATTGTTTCTATCTCAAACGACTTGTTGATTCTTATGCTTGAGTTATTTGATAAAATTTTTCGATAGATTAAATAGTCTAAAAATGTTAAGACTTATTTGTGACAAATAAATATCAAGAATGGTTTAATATATATTTGTTATGTCTAACAATTGTATGATAATAGGATAAAATGTCGAAAAAGATTAATATTAGTGTATAATTTTTCAAAATACATTTTTGTAAAACCTAAAAAGAAAAAATGAAAGAATCTTATTAAAGAGATAAAAAAAACATGATTTTATAAGAATCTATCAGAATAACAGACAAAAAATAAATAACTTAAGACGATGCAACCCTTCTTTGTAATATTAATGCTGTTTGTAATACAAAGTCATGTAGCACAGATGATTATTTGCTTCTATTAAACATGAAAAACTTGAAATCAAGAAAAAAAAAATACATATATAGTACTGTGATATATTTATTTGAATGCAAATAAAGATTAATGAGTTCATTTCTTTTAAAATCTACTATTTTTAGATATGTAAAATAATCATATCAATTGTTCTTTGAAATTATTTAAAAATAAAATTAAGTTCTACTTAATTATGTGTTGTGTTTGCTATATGAGTCTATATTTGTCTATATCTTTCTATCTATGGTTGTTAATCTACTGAAAACAAATGAAAGATATGTAGACTTTGCAATTTACAATCAAAAGAAACATATAATATTTATTGATGCATATAAACAGAAACCATGCGGTTTATAGATTGTGCGTATTTTCTCTACCTAAAACAATGCTGTAAATGTTATCAGTCAACTGTAATGATCTATTTGAATGGTCTGAA